ACTCGTTACTTATCAAATAAACTATTTAACAGAAAAGAGATCTAACACATACATATATCTTTTAGACTTGTATAATCAATTTGACAAAGATAATCATCTTCTAAATATTTAAAATTACCAAGTAAAAGACTAGGAATCATTAATAAAAAACATAGAATCCATTGAATAAGAATTAATATTTGATAAAGTTGAAAAGATTGAAGTGATTGTTTTCTATAGAAAATAACTCGACATAAACGATAAATTGATTGAAGAGTATTTGAATAATATATTGTACAATTTGATGACCATAAAAAATAAGCACGAAGTTGACAATATATTCCATTATTAAAAGAATTCATTGAATAAACATGTCCTGATAAAATATGAATATATTCTTTAAGAAGTAATATACAAGAAAAAAGTATGGCGAAATATATATTAGCTGTTAGAAGAAGTGCCACTCGATGTGGAGAATTTTTAAATTTAATTACATGATAAATAATGAAACTAAATATTCCAGTTGAAATACATATACTTATTGAAGTTAAAGTAATAATTGAACAATCAATAATAATATTTGCTAGTCGATGTGTTGATGAATTCATTTTGAAGAAGAAGAAAAAACAAAGAGCTTTAGATAAATATTAGAAAGTAATTAGTTGTCTATTATTTATAAAAATGTGTTAAAGAAAAACAGCAATTTTTCAATTTTTTTTAAGCGGCTTTAGTTCTAGAAAAGAAATGACGAGGTTTTCTTCTCCCTGAAATTAATATGCTAAGTAATCTTAAAAATTGACATGAGTGATGATTTCATCTTTTTTAATATTCAATACTAATACTTTCACATGCATTTTTTTTATAAGTAACTGCATCTTTAGAATAAAATACGTCTGACGTATTGAAACGATTACTCAAGATACGTCATGTACATCGTGCTTATAGTATTTTTTATTTAATGAACATTGGCAAAATTTACGAGGGAATCTTTTCCGATGCACCCCCACGGATTTCAATGATTTTTAGTTGCTAAGTACTACATAATGCCCTAATAAGAACCCCTGAAGAGATTTGAGTTGCAATTGCTTTTACTTTTCACTGTATCTGGCATAGTAGACAACATGTATTTGTTTTTTTAATTCTTTTATGTGTACAGATCTTGACGATGTGAGTGTATATGAAAAACAAGAATATGAGTATGACCAAAAAAGAAAGCATTTATCGAAGGCAAAATCAATGAATTTAATCTTAGAAACAAACAGT